TGAAAAACAATATAATTTGAAGAACAACAGGCAAATATTTTCCCCAGAGGATTGTTGCTAGCAAGCTGAACCACTGACCTGACAAAAAACATCTGGCTCAATTGCCTCATAACCACCATTTTGGAAAAAAGTGTTGTATATGTATGTGTGTGTGGGTTTACATATATCATTATATAAACAAACAAAACAAAACAAATTGCATAACAATATCTGTATATAGAAATAATACAGAGATAGACAAATGCAGTATTTATTTCTCAAGTTTAAATGTCAAGGCTTTTCTTAACAAGTATTTTTGTCTTGTTTTTCAGTAAAACATCTAAACATCTAAGACAAATTTACTTGAGAAACAAATATCTGTAAAATATCAAGACTTCTTTCCTTGAATTACTGTAAGTTTATTTATCTTACCCCAGTGGCATAGCCCTCACTAAACTGATTTAGGCTTGTAAGAAAAAAAAAATCTGCCAATGCGGAAAAAATAAATTTAAATCAAGACGAAAACATGTCTTATTACAAGTCTTAATATCTTATGAAATTTTGTTTCTCAAGCAAATCTTGTTTTTAATGATATTTCTACTGAAAAACAAAACAAAAACACTCGTTTAGAGTTTGAGTTTGGGTTGTTTAGGGTAAGGGAACAAGTTCAGGACACACAAGTTCCCCACCTTTTCTGGATCTCAAATATAAGTACTGCATAAGACTGATTCCAGTTGACGTTATAGGCTTCAAAATCCTCAAAAAAAACAACCCCACTCTGCTGGACAAATACACCATCTGACATTTAGGCCTGGAGCAAGCAGGAGGCTGTGCTTGAAATGATTCATTCTGAGTTTTCCATCAGACCCAAAAACTAAGGAACATAATGTACTACTTCTGTTCTGTGCGTGAGCAAGACCCTGCATGTTTTTTTTTCTTTTGTCTCTCTTTTTGATCTTGCTAGGCAAATTTACGGAATAAAAAGAATTTCACTTAATCTTGTTTCATCCCTTTATTGTCTTTGATCAATATATTATCACTGTGTATTGTGCTGCCATCTGAAAGGCGTCTAAATGTTGTTTTCAGTTCTTGTCCAAAAGTTCTCTTGGCTGACAAGCCATATCCAGCAGATTTGGGAAAAACATGATCATGTCTGCTTGATTGCCTGATTATTAGGCAGAGTTCAAGAAACAGTCTCTCTGCACGTCATACTAAAAGTTTTTCCTCATAAAATGCAAGACATCTTGATGCCTGCATTTGCATCCAATAAAGCTTCTAAAAAAGGCAGAAAGCAGCTCATGGGACACTACTCTTAAATTCTCACTTTACTTGCCACAAAAAAAAAAATATATATTTGTTTTACTTATAAAATCATGCTTTCATCACATGACAGAAGGTTGGATCTATGTTAGACATTAAATTAATACTGTGACTAATCTCCATTGTTGTTGCCAAAAAAATATATATTTTTTTATCATCAGAGCATACTACTGAAACACATTCTCCTAAAATCCTGACAGACCATGGACCATTTATTTTGTTGTACTGACATATGCTAAGCAATAGCAGTAAATCATACAGCTGATAAGAAGAGTTTTTTTTTTTTTCATTTTCATTTCCTGTAGATAGAACTCACTGTACCCTCAGTGTAACTTATAAACCATTTATAAGTTTTGATGCGTTTATTTATTTCCACCCGCCAAGGCCTTAATGGACTTTGTAATAGTGATGGTTGGGCTGAAGCCCATTAGTACCAGGGCTTAATGTTTGCTCACAGAAGCATGTGGGCCACATTTAAAGTCTGGCAGGATGAGAGCATTGGCTTGACTTTGCTTGGCTAACGGTAGGTACCCACATTTGAAGTTAATGAATCTCCCTCTCTGTGTTTTAGCATGTCTGTTCTCCTTAGAGGGCAATGAGGCTTAAAGCTACAGAACATAGCATCTGGGTAATAAGCTTTTTAGTGTGCATTCATTTGCGAAATGATTATGACCAATTTTTTTACATTAGCAGAACATGCTAATGAATCTGTTTTTTCAGGTTGCAGCTACGATATGGACAACTTCTGTAAGAATCCAAATATACTGTGCACATGTTCATCCATGCTGACCCATGTAGACGTACAAAAACTAGAATTACACAGCATTTATCAAATAATTCCTTTGATAGCACAGTGGTATAAGGAGCTGTTGTCATACAGTCATCCTAAAAATATATATGTAGTGTAAGGACACAACCTGAGATATTCAATAATATAAGAAACCAATTTTAAGCATAATTAATTAAGGTATTTATTAAGGTATAAATGTATTAAGGTATACATATTTCAAAGTAAAAAGTGAAAATAAACATAGGAAATAACAGGAAATAATTATATAAAATCAGAATATATAAATGTAAATCAGAATATATAAATCTATCTATCTATCTATAGTATCTGTATATATATATATATATATATATATATATTACACGGCTCTGTGGAATACTTGATTCTGATTGGTCAGTCGCGCCATCCAGCGGTATGTTATTCCCAGATAACAACCGCCAAATTGAATAACACACCGCTCATCCGGGTACTACGAGTTATCTTGACCGGTACTACTTATATGCTTAACGAGTCACTCCGCTATCGTTGACTGTCTGGCGCCATCTTGTGACTGAAAACACTTAACCACCTACAATGGAAGACTTCAGCATTAATTTCAACATATATGGTAAAAACAAATCTTTTTAGCCGTGTAATAAGCGGGATAACGTACATCAAGATGGTCGTTATCTCAAAATAAACCCCTTCAGGCTCCGTGAAGGGGTCTTGTATCAGCCTGAAGGAGTTTATTCTGAGATAACAACCGGCTGGATGTACATTATCCCTTACATATCTTCATTCATATATAAATATATCTCATGCATAAGTATAATCTCAATATTATTATATTATTATTATTCAAAATAAAACATTAACACACACACACACACACATTAAACTAATAATAATAATTAATTAATTAATTAATACAGCATTATATGATAGTATGAAAACCAAAATAATAATAATAATAATAATTCTGTGATTAATTAAATATCTTCTGAAGGTCTGGAAGAACGTCTGGCTATTATTAATGTATTGTAATGACCAGTGTTGGGTAAGTTACTCTAAAAAAGTAATGAATTACTAGTTACTAATTACATCTTCAACAGTGTAATTAGATTACTGTACAAATTACACTGTTGAATTACTAGTTACTAATTACATCTTCAACAGTGTAATTAGATTACTGTACAAATTACTCTCTCCAAAAAGTATTTAATTACTTATTACTAATTACTTTCTAAATCCTATATCAACCTCAACAAGTTAATGATACAAGGATAGACATGAAATGGTTCTTTTAATTCTTTCAAGTAACTACATAAATTATTCTGGTCACACTTTAGATTAGGGTCCAATTCTCACTATTAACTAACTATTATCTATGACTTTTCCCTCAAAATACTCACAATTACTGCTTATTAATACTTAGTAAAGTAGTTGTTAAGGTCAAGAATTGGGTAGGATTAAGGATTTAGAATAAGGTCTTGCAGAATAAGACATTAATATGTGCTTTTTAAGTAATAATAAACAGCCAATATCCCAGTAATATTCATGCTAATAACCAACAAGTTAATAGTGAGAATTGGACACTAAAGTGTTACCAGTATTCT